CCGATTATCGGTCGTGAGATTCGAAAACTAGCACAATATGATGTTATAAAATAATACCCCTCCGGATTGGCACAAATAGGACCCTTCCGGACTAACAAAATCTAGACCCTTCCAGATTGGGACCCCTCCGAGTTAGTTAACACAAGACCCCTCCGGATTTGGACCCCTCCGAATTAGCAACTATAAGACCCCTCCGGATTCGGACCCCTCCTAACTTGAAAAAGTTTTGACCCCTCCGGATTGGGAGCCCTCCGGTTTTGTAAAAGTAGCTTTTCGGAGTTTACCTTCTTTCAACCTATACCCCTCCGGATACGTTCTCCGATGAAAATTTGCTCTTTCAATTAACTAGGAAGGGTATGTGCTACTTTCCTAGACCCTTCCGGATTGAAGTTAAGCCTCTTATTTGACAATTCACACTAACGGTGAAGGGTCTTATCGCTCGCCTAACTTCGGCTCGATTAAGGTTTTGCTGTGCCTTTAGCCTTCCCTTTTCGTCTAAAACAGTCTAAAGTTACTTTACTCAACCGCTATCACCTTTTAGTAGGGGTATAAGGGCTTTTCTAAAAGAAATTTATAAAACGTGAAGGGTCTACCCTTCCTAATTGGTGAATTTGCTAAAAACAATCTCAACAAATTTTCACGCTTACTTTTCCGAAAAACTTTTGTCCCTATCAGTAAGCTCAGCTAATTTCTGATCTATTGGTACCAAGATCAACTCGATATGCCCAGTAGTTCCAAAGTTATTAACCAAAACGTCATTCTTCTAAACTCAAAAATTTTCTCTCTTATAGGTTCCGCCTAACTTTTTCCGCAAATCTGGTCCTTTCGTCCTAAAAATTATTGACCCGAGCTCAGAAGGCCTATAGTCTTCTAGTTCAATGCAAAAGACCCGATCTAAAACGCTTTTGTAGAAGAAATTTGCGAAAAACTACGCTACCTGTACCCCTCCGGATTGATGAATCCACCAAATCAAACACGTTAAGTTCGATTTCTCTGCAACCCGGAAGGCTTTCGGGTAGCGGGTTTTAAAACTTGTAGATTCACTAGTGGACGTTGTCCGAACAACTATTTTTACTGTTGTAACTCAAAAAATTTCAAAAAATTTTCTGCGATTTTATTGTTTCGGTTTCTCAAAAATCACGAAAATTTGGTTTTTGGTTCCAAAATAGTTCCAACCACTTCCGAACTAAACTTAACCGGTTCTATCTATTATGCTAGTGCAGTTACGATGTAACACACTACTTTAGCGCTTTTTTCCGTTTCAAAAAATATCGATATCTCAAAAATCGCGACTTGTGGGGGGATCAAAATATCGCTATTTTGACCCTAAAAACCGGTCTGTTTTCGTTGTTTTTGACTGAAAAACGATATAAGACTATTAATATAGGCTATATAATTAATAATATTAGTAATACTATACCCCTCCGGGTTTGTTTAATATCCGAATTAAGGTGCTTAACTCGGATATTCGCAGTTCGGTGAAGGGTCACTACAGTGCAGCACTGTCGAGCCCCCCACAGATTACTATCTTAATTTTTGTACCAAAAGGGATACAAAGATTGTTAACGATACCCAACAGTCGATTGTTGTTGTCGTTGAGCCTCTTCTTGTTGCTCCTTGTACTGCTTGCCGGATCAGTCTTCTCCCAAGACCCTTCCGAATTGAGCGCAAATCAGCTGACCCTTCCGGATTGAGCGCAACTTATCATTAACGTGCTTAAATGCTCAAATAACCCTAGAGTACAAGCCTCACAAACGGGCTACAAAACTGATCGTAACAATCCTGACTGATATAATTGCCTGTAACAACAATATATCTATCAACAACAAACGGGGGGGGTCGGATCACATCTTGTCTGGGGGGATGATTTCTACTGATTTTTCTACTTTTTTACTGTTTTTGGTTTTTTCGGTTATTTTTTATGTTTTTTGTTTTTCTTGGGTACTATACTACTTTTTGTTTGGTTTTATATATAACTTAAGTGTTTTTGGTCACAAACCTCTCAGGGAACGAGGGAATGGCCAATCCCCCCACCCTTCCTGATTCGTGAATTTTCGGTCTTAACTAAGTTAAAAAGCTATTCACGGTAATCCGGAAGGCTTCCGCGTTCCGAACTACCCTTCCACCCCGGCGATTTAGGCCTATTAAGGGCGTTAATGTGAGCATCCGCTCGGCGCGGAGTGCTCGTTAACGGTTCTGCTGGTCATGATGTTAAAAAAAAAATAACACCCAGGAGCGCCATAAAAAGATCTATGTAACATTCGCCCGGAAGATACATATCGACGGAAGACAAAACTAAGTCTTAAGACGACTGGCTAACGTCTAAACAGAGCTTTGCATGCTTTTCACCGTCTCTACCAAGCCAGTACTTTTCGGTGGTCTTTTCCAACATCGGGTCGACAAAAACGTTACTGCTTTCGGCTTCGGTCAAAACACCCAAATTAACTAGATTACATGCAGAAATAGTGAGCTCATGGCTGGGTCTCAGTATCCCCAGACCACGAGGTCACTCCTAAAAACAGGGCTACTAGTATTTATTATATTACTATTGTTTTTGTTCAGTAGATAAAAATCATCATCTCCATCGAAGATGGATCAACCCTTTCCCCCAACTCCTAGCTTCTCATCCTTATCAAAATTAATCTAGATGTTAATTAAATTCAAATCAGGACATGACAAGAAGCTAAAAGTCTATATAACAGGCTAAAAGTTTCAGTCCCGAAACCCTTCCGGATTCTTGAATCTACTGAATCAAGCTCGCTAATCTTGACTTCTTCTTAATCCGGAAGGCTGTCCTCCACCCTTCACCGTTGTCTGCAACGGCCTTGCAACTATTGTAGCGACACAATAGTTGCAACTCGGAGTGTTCACTGCTATTCCTGCAATCTGCTATTGTTTTTTCTCACAATTTTCGTACTTATCGTCCGCGCAACTGATGTTGTTGTGTTGTCTTCTAGCTTTTCTGCCAAAATGGCCGTTTCTGACGTTTCTCAGAAATATGACGTCATCATTCGAATTTTTAAAATTTTAAAACACCAGAATATTCTAGCCCTCACCGTTTGGCCAATCGTTCCAATAACGTTCTTAATTCTTAATAATCACCAATCCGGAAGGCTCGCTGCTAAAATTTCGAATTCTGTAGAGATTGCATTTTTCACATTCTGGTCGAATGTCACAAAAAGTGGACAGCTGGGGTGTCCCAATGGTTCAGACCAAAACTACATTACTAGAGTCAAAACTCATTTCCCTTATTGAAACTAATTAGTATTAAACTTCTCAAGTTATCATACTTAATTCTCGAGTTGCTCATTAATTTAGTTACCTCTAATTCTCGAGTGTGCCGACATGTGAGTTCTCAATTTAGTTTTCTTGAGTGTGTTTTATGATTATTATGTTGAGATAAGGAGAGTTTTAGGTTGATCCATCTGAAATGGATCAAATCTTCACTGTCTAATAAAAGGTAACTGTGCGGATTGTTCCGACCCTGTTTTTAACGATGTTCGTTTATTTTGGGTATTTTGAGACCTAAGTATGGGGACGTTCTTATTTTCTAGAGTGGGGGGTGTTTTGGTAGTGGCCTTTAAGCTGTAACGGGTTTTTAGTCTCATGTCGCAAGCGAACCAATGTGCTAGTCGGTCATATTTGGAAGTTTGACCTTGAGAAAAGCAAGAGCACTTAATTTTGGGGTGAAATTTAATTTTTCAAAAATTCGAATGGAGCCTGTCATGCACGATTTTCTCGCGATAACTGAAAACCGAAAAAGAGAATTCAGAACGATCGAACAACAATCGCGGGAAAGTTGCTAGATAAAACAGTGGGAAATTGCTATTCGCAATTTCTGTCAGAATAGAACGAGAGTAGAGCTGTCCCATCTGAAACAGAGACAGGCGTATTCCCGAGAACTGGATTGTCATCACTCGATTGGATTATTATTTGAACTGAACTAGAGTGAACCTTCGGTGGAAAGGTGGACAACTTGAGTGTCCCAATGGTTCACGAGAAACTACATCCTAGAGTTAAAACTTGTCCTTGTCATTGAAACATTAAAACTCATTTAGTTACATTATTTAATTCTCGAGTTAATTACCGACTGAAGTACTTCCCTTTCTTGAGTGTGCTACGATGTGAGTACTTAATTTAAATTTCTAGACTGTGTTTTATGATTCTTATGTTGAGGTAAGGCGAGTTTTAGGTTGATCCATCTGAAATGGATCAAAGTTCCACTGTCTAATAAAAAGTAACTTAACGGATTGTTCCGACCCGGTTTTTAACGGCGTTCGTGTATTTTGGGTATCTAGAGACCTAAGTATGGGGACGTTATTATTTCTAGAGTGGGGGATATTTTGGTAGTAGCCTTTAAGCTGTAACGGGTCTTAGTCTCATGTCACAAGCGAACCGAATTGGCTCCGACTGATTTGAGGTAGAAAAACACAAGAGATAGTGTCCCTGACTCTTGAGCGAATGGTTATAGGCCTATTTTTCTTAAGCCTCATGTGTGACTACAGTAGACGAATGTTACACGAATTGGCTCCGACCGTTTTGAGGTAGAAAAACACGAGAGATAGTGTCCCTGACTCTTGAGCCAATGGTTATAGCGCCTATTCTTCTTAAGCCTAATATGTGACCGAAGTAGGCGACTGTTACATATTTTGTAACTTAGTTTTTTTTAAAATTAATATTAAAACTACTTTCACGAAGATCTTTACTATTAGAGGCAAGATTGTGTGTAGGTGTTAGTTTCCTCAATCTGGTTGGCTTGTTTTACCGACCATCTGACTCTCTTTACTTCTATCCACGTTATACTTAATCTTCCTTATCTAGAAAATTCTAGGATTTTGATTGGAATATATGTTTGAGGGACACCTGACTGTAACCTCGGTTACTATGACACTTGCGACTTTCTGATTATTGATTATATTGGTAAAATTACAATCAATAATTGTATTTTTGATGTAAGGTTTTTGCTCTGCAATTAATCTTTGCTAACCCCTTCCTCTTTTTAGACCCATCATGGGGTCCTATTCGGGGTTGAACCGAGCAGCTCTTTCCTTTGAGTACCTTCACACAAACTCGTTAGTTGAAATGAGTAGTCCACGATTTGGTAGCTTGGTATCCCTCATCTTATCAATTTTATATAATTGTGTGTTTTAGAACAACTCACGAGTTTCTGTTCGGCGCTCTAGCAGAACTGATAGATAATTCGAAGTAAGTATTTTATCATGTTGATATTTTGCAGAAACAAAAACACACTGTCAGTTTTTTGTCGTTCAAGAAATTATCTCAACGAGTCTGATGCAGAACGAGTTTAATTGTAATGTTGATCTCTCGCGTTTGCATTGAACAAGGGGTTGTTGTGCATTTTGAACATAACTATTCCGTCATTTATTAAGTGGCTTTATACTTTAAAGTGAATGACATTTTCAGGGATGCTCGTTCAAAGAAGATAGAGATCTATTCAGGTACGTAAAAGTTGCGTTCACTCTAACTATCATTTTAGAGTAAAATTAATCGATTTCAGCCCGTAGTAGTTATGTTGAAGGAATGATGTGTTAATGATCGAAGTGAATTTTCCTTTATTCATGTGGCGTGGGTTCTTAACAACACAAAAGCATATTGCGGCGAAAAAGCGGTCGACTTTTAGTATCTTAAATGGATTATGATATGAAACTCCAGCGACAATTAATAGGAAACCCCAGCAAAAATAATTAACTTAATTAATCCAGTTTTCTGTTTTATTTGCCAACAAACAAACAAGCGTTTCGATGTTTTAAATTTCGATGTTTTACTTGAAAGATGACAGGACTAGACTTAAATTTTGTGCTGTAATTTTCTGGTGTAAATTTTTTTCTCTCTGAAGGTTTGTTCGGGCTAAAAGGTTCCGGTTTATGTTAAATTGGCTCAGTCTCTTCTTACTGTATTGTTTCAATGCAGAAAAGTGGTTTTTATGCACCTTTGGGCTTTGCGAAGGCACTAAAAGTTTCAAATTTTCAACAGTTTTTTGGCGAAACAGGTTTTCAAGTATTCTCAGCTTAATTACCGCTTCGATACTTTTTTCTATGCTATTTAATGTGGGAAATGGTTTTTGCGCATGTTTTCACTAAAATTTACTTCATTTGGTGCAAAACAAACCTAAGAAAATTTTGGTAGATCCATTGTTTGCTATCAATTTTTCCGACTAACTGGTTGTCTCTCATTTTCTGTCAAGTAACCTGTCATGATATGTTAACTGCGTTTCACAAGTGATTAGGTTCACAGGTATATCTGCAGTTATTCTAACATATTGAATTTTAGAGCGAAACGAAGAACTTCGAGGTGGTTACATGCTATGTTTTCTGGACGATGGATATGGAATGAATCGAGGTTTCAATTCATTTGCATTTGATTGAAATGAAAAATTTAATTCGTTCAATTTTTAAGAGTAATGAACGTAGTGAAGATTTCTAATAGGACTTGCTGATTTTTTTTTTCGGGAAAAAGTCTTATCTTGATGCACTTTGGTCTATATGCATTTTTTGAGTTCAATTGAAATTCCTCTGCTGAAAGTGACGTAAATAGCTATCTCCAAATAAGAACGTGCAAATGGCGCAAAAAAAACATGAATGATTTCTAGTTTCGCAAATGGAATTTAATTTTAGATTTCTAGCGGAATAAAAACTTACCTGTTGATCCATTTTTCTCAAATTGTATTAATTTTATCAAAAAAGCACCAATCGTAAATCGTTTTAGAAATTAAACAGCTTGAAGGGCATCTATTTTTTTCTTTGAAATTGGAAAGTTAAGATTTTTTCAACAATGTCAGTGTTTTTTTTTGTGTTTACTTGCCTTCATTACTCTTTTCCAATCTTCGATTGGCTATGTTTTGAATTATGATTTGTTTCAGAGGAAGCCAAACGGGTTATTACGTTTGGAAGATCGGCTAAGAAAGCTATGGACACAAATGTAGTCGGACAGTATGGCAACGGGCTCAAATCGTTAGTCTTAACTGCAACTCTTATTCACTGTAAACAAGACTTGAGAAATGGCCCCCATTGGAAACCATAATCATTGTCAAATACGAAAAGGGTTGTTTATACTTTTCTCTCTGGCATTCAACAAAAAAATATGATCAGCTGTTTTTCGAGGTTTTATTCGTGAATTTTTTATTCATTTTGTCTGCTCAGTGCCTCCAAAAGAGAATGGGAAGGCTTTTAGATTAAGGTGGGTCTTTTCTATGTCATTTCAGGTACCATAAAAATCGCAGTATAAAATGAGCAATGACATTGAAATCTTTGATTTAAGATTGTGATTTTGCTGAAATTTAAAACTCTGATATTTTATAATGAACCGTTTTATTTTGCAAGTTGCTTTGGTTCAATCCGACCACTAAATTGAACTAGGGGAGATACAATCAACATAACAAGCTCCGAGCTCATTTGGTGGCGTTTTTGCTGCTTAGCATTGGCAATTTAGTAGCAACTGTAGCTACTTTTTTGGTTGTTGTTTTAGCTACATCGATCTCTGCTTCGAGCTTCTGATTGAATTAGAGAGATTGATTGTTTGAGAGATCGAGAGAGAGATAGTTAGGGAAATTTTGTACTACTTTTTTGCTAGTTACTTATAGTAAATTTTCAAACGATCGTGGCACAGATGCGAGGAAACAAGACTCAGACCGAGGATGCACTCCGGTACATAGCAAGTTTTATTTTTCAATGCTCATTTTTATTTCCTTTTTTCAACTTTTTTTGTACGTTAGAGCTACTTGTGAAGTTTTCTCGCTTAAGTTTGCAAAGTGCAAGAGCTACTTGTGAAGTTTTCTCGCTTAAGTTTGCAAAGTGCAACTTCTGTTGTCAACTGAAGCCATTACTTATGTTTGATAAGTGTAAATGAATATTTTAAATACAGTAACTTAGATGGTTTTGATCTTTTTTTTTTGAAAAACCGATTAACATAGTTCAGTCTACTACATAGGTGGCGATGAATTTTGTTTGTTTTTTTCAGGAAAAAGTCCAAAAATTCGTTCAGGCTCTAATTTACGTTTGCGCGGTTCGACTTTCGATTTTTTTTCAAATTCAGTTCATTTTTTGTTTACACTACGGACTTAGTGAGCGTTAGTGTTATACTACGACTATTCTTTTTTCTAGTAAATTATTGGTGCCACTTTTGAGGCATGCTTACGGCTTTTTAATAGCATGTGCTTTCCTATTCGAATAATAATAAATTAACACAAATAATGCATTTTAATTTCATCAAATGAATCGAAAGAAGCTATTTGTTTCAAACATAACAATAAAAAAACTCGATTTTAGAAATTTTTTTGAACTCAACGTATCTCGCAATTTTTGAAATGCATAGTTTAAATATAATGTGGTTTTATGCTTTCCAATTGATTACATGCAAAATTATTGTGGATTCAGTTTGTTGTATTCCAAACTAGTACATGCAAAATTGTCCATTTGTATTTGGTGCCACTTTTGCTGCATGACATTGGCAATTTGTTAGTATTAGTAGCTGCTTTATCTGTGACTGGTGTTTTATTTCCTGGTTGGTAAGCTTTCGTGGCTCAGAAGGCAGAGCGTGAGACTCCAATTCTCGAGGTAGCAGGTTTGAATTGAAGCCCATACGTAGCAAATTCTTACTAATTCGAGGCTTAGTTCAATCTTTTCTTATTTCACTTTACAAAGCAGCTTTTTTTCGTGTTCTCGCTAATGTTAGCGATGCGCAGCTTCGCCTGTGTGAAAAAGGGCAAACTCTACTATCGAACAGCGACAGTTTAAAGGTCAGGTGGTCGACTTCTAATTTCGAAAATGGGTTTTAATTATCAGATTTCCCAGCGAAACAAAATTTCTCGATTAAAAAACTATAAAAGTTTTAATCTCGCCAATCTTAATTAGAATAATTGAGTTTACATTATTGACTGTTTAATTTTAATTCTATTGAAAAAGACGCTTAAATAACATTAGAGCTTTGGTAGAATATATATATTTTTCAAAAGCTTCCGAATTTTGATAAAATGAGGATAATTTAATGCTTGATGTGTTTTTTTTTATGTGTTCAATCCAAGGTCGACAATCAAAATAATAGTTTTTATCCCAAATTGAATATCTGAAATATAAAGAAAGATATTTTACCTGCGATTGTTTTTTTTAGAGTTCTGCCGGTTTGAAACTTGTCATTTTGACCATGCTCTGGACCTAATTATGCGAACTCTGAAGTTTTTATTTTGTTATTATGCTGAAAGAATAACGCGAATTATCTATGCGTGTCATTTATTCCTACAAAATTGTCTCTAATTCTTTTGAGGCAAGCTAATCTGTCAAATTGTTTTTGTAAAAACCAAATTTTCACACTTGCTGTTTGATATTGTCCATAATTTTTGGTTTTTTAATGTTTTCTTTACAAAAAAAACTATTATCAATTAAGGGGCACTCAGAATACTCAAGTATTCGACCCCTTCGCCACACATAGAGTTACCCCTTTGGTACTATTTTACGATATCCATTCTTGGCTGACTGACACTAATATTTTTTCAAAAGGTACTGGCAGTAATGTTGTGGGGAATGCGCACTCAAAAACCCCTTTTTTAACTGATAGCCTTCCAAAAAGTTCTCTAAAACGGCACAGAAATTTTTTTGTCGAAAGAAGGTTTTTGTAACGATTGGGAGAGCTCGGGAATCTAATTTGATTGACAATAAAAAGGTCACCAAAGTTTTATAAAATTTAATGTAAATCACCCTTAAGAAAATTAAAGTTCCGCCCCTGAATACAACGGTTCTCTTTACAACATGAAAAAAATTTGTAAACTGTAACTCAACCGCCAATTTATAATACAACCCTATTATTATTATCGGTTGAGTTTCAACTTCGTAATTTTTCATACTGTTTTAACAGAGCTTCGTTATGTTTTTTATGCGTGCAAGACTATGAACATAGTGAAGACTCTTGGATAGGTCGTGATGAAATTTTTTCAGGCTCCAATTTGATTTCCCGTGGTTTGATTTTTGATTTTTTTCAAGTTCAGTTTATTTACTCTGTCGAAAGAAAGCAAACTCCTCTATCGAACAGCTTAAATGTGTTATAAAAAAAAAACAGGAATTTACATCTAATTTCAAATTGGGTTTTAGTTTCCAAATTTCCCAGCGGAATAAAAAGTTTTGACTTCGATCCAGTTTTCTCAATTAGGGTCAAGTGTATCTAAAAGTGTTGATCTGAAACTGTTCAGAAATGCAAAGAGCTTTAAAGCCATCTTTTTTATTCTTTAAAATTTTTGTCTGTTTAATTGTGTTCCTTGACGTTTTCCAACTGTTTGTTTTTAGAACTTTGTGAAGTTTGTGCTTGATCTTTTTTGTTTTGATGGTTTGTATTCCGAAACCCGCTTTTTCATTCCATTTTCCCTGAAGAGCAGAACAAAAAGAAAATAGCGAGAATTTTAATTCTACAATTGGATTTTTTGGAATCAACGACGGAATTAAAAGCTTGGAAAAACGGAATTAAAATCATGGAAAAACGGAATTAAAATCATGAATTTTTTTTAATGAATTGTTTTTAGGAGTCATGGTCATAGTGAATACTTTAAATAGGTCTTATTTTCTTTTTTTTCAGGAAGTCTAAAATTTGTTTACACTAGGGACTTTAGTGAGCGTTAGTGTTATACTACGACTATTCTTTTTTTTTCTAGCCTATGTCGCAAATATTGGTGTTTCTTTTGAGGCACTCTAACGGCTTTTTGATAGCATGCGCTTTGGCATTCAAATAGTAATAATTTAACACAGATGATGCATTTTAAATTCATCAAACGAATCGAGAAAAGCTATTTGTTTTGAACAAAGTAACAATAAAAAACTTGATTTCGGAAATTTTTGATTTACTCGAGTTCTCTTTTGGTGCTTTTTTTTTACGATATCCATTCCCGGCAGACTGACCTTAAAGGTGCCTTTTTCAAAAGGTACTGGCACTAATTTTCTGGGGAAGTGCGCGCCCAAAAATGCATTTTTTCTAAGTTGAAGCCTTCCAAGAAGTTCCTTAAATCGGCACAGAAATTTTTGTCGAGTTAGGCCTTCTGTAAGGCTTTGGGTTGAAAAACTAATCTGATCGACCTTAAAAAAGGTCACCAACATTTTAGAAAATTTGATGCAAATCACCCTTAAGAAAATCTCAGATCTGCCCCTGAATACAACGGTTTCCTCTTTAGAGCACGAAAAATATTCTAAACTGAAACTCAGTTGGCAATTTATGATACAACCTTAATGTTGTCGGTAGAGTTACAATTTCGTAATTTTTCCATGCTGTTTTAACGCCTGCAATTGTTTTTCTTGCTTGTCTTTCTCGATATTTGTTCGGCTCAACGAATTTCAACTCTAATGTTGTCAGCTGAGTAGATTCGTTATGTTTTTTTTTAGTTTAAGAAGCGATAAACGTAGTGAAGGCTCTTGAGTAGTTCGTGATGAATTTTTTCAGACTGAAATTTGATTTCCCGTGGTGTGACTTTTGATTTCTTTTCAAGTTCAGTTCATTTACTTTGTCGAAAGCCGGCAAACTTCTCTATCTAGCTAAAGTGTAAAAGACTTAAAAAAATATGATTACTCTCGCAAATTAAAAAAAAAAATTAGTGTACAGTATTGACTGTTTGACGCAGTTTTTTTTTTTTTAAAAAGACGCTGAAATAACATAAGAACGTTTGTAGGTTTATTGTTTTTAAAAGCTTTTCCGACTTTTGAAATGAGGATTATCGAATGCTCGGTTTTTTTTTCGTGTTCAATCGAAAAGCAATCAAAATAAGAGTTTTTATTCCAAATTACTATTCTGAGTTCAAATGTAGAACAATTGCTTTTATAAGAGTTCTGTTGGTTTGAAACTTGCCCATTCGGCCATGCTCTGGACTAAATTATGCGCATTCTAAAGATTTTATTTATGTTGCTGAAAGAGTAATGCAAATTATCTATGCTTGTCAATTATCTCGCACTTCAAAATTGTTTGAAATGAATTGAGGCATGCTAATCTGTCATATTCCTTTTGTAATACCCAAGTTTTCACGCTTGCCGTTTATATTGTCAATTTTTTTTTCATTTTTGATGTTTCAAAAACAACTATTGGATACCAATTAAGGGGCAGTCGGAGTACTCAGCTGTTCGGAGTACCCCATTACCACCCAAAGAAAAGCCCCATTGGTTTTATTTTAGGAATCTGTTTTCGGCCGACTGACCCTAAAGGTACCTTTTTTCAAAAGATATTGGCACAAATTTTGTTGGGGAGCGCGCGCCCGAAAATTGTGTTTTTTAAAATCAAAACCTTCAAAAAAGTTCTAAAACGGCCTACAAATTTTAATCGAAATAAGGCTTTTGTAATGTTTTCAATGTTTTGGGAGAGCTCAAAAAACAAGTGTGATCGACCTTAAAAAAGGCATCATAATTTTAGAAAATTTTCTGCAAATCCTCCCTTCAGAAAATCTTAGATCCATCCTTGAATACAACGGTTTTCTCTTAAGATTAATGTTCAGCTGTGAAAAAATCAGCTTAAATGAGCAACGCATAAAGGCACAAAAAGGCAGCTTGTATATCATAGCGATACCCTGAATGTTATGACTGCCCCTTAATCCCTATTGAATAGTTTTTGGGAAAAGAAAATTTTGAAAAATTATATCTATTATATATTTAAATGCGGGCTTCACTATCTCGCCTTGCTTAAGCTTTTCAACATATTTTTTGCATGTTTAACGAAAGAATGTTTTCAGGATTAAGCTATATCGTATATTGCAATGGTTACTAAATTTTCTTCGATTTTCCAGTTGAGTTCAGCGTTTATTTAACCGAGTTTAAAAAAAGGAGCAAAATTGTGGAATATTGTCAGGGTTCCGCCAGGGGTTGCGAAATCGACATCCAATTGTGAATGCACAAATCCTTTTAGTATACGAGATACGACGATTTATGTGGTTTTTTCAAAATTTTTCAAAAAATAAATTACGTAATTCAAAAAATTTGAAATTCCCAACCCTGCAGTTGGGTGCTGTTAGATTACTCTTAAGGATTGCGATTCTTGCCTCCAAATATGACTGCTCGTTATTGCTCAAACCTTGTAGTTCTCGAGATATGACCTGTTTTATGATTTTTTTGTTTTCATTTTTCAAAAAACTTGGATATAAAAAAAACTAACCCAAATTGAGTTTCTCAATCAGCCCCATAGTGGAACGCTTTCAGGGTACATGCAAAGGTTGAAAATCTGGCGTCCAAGTTTGACTGCTCAAATCCTTTTGGTTTTCGAGATACGGCGTTTTTTATGATTTTTTTTTTTCAAAAAACTTGAAAAAATTTAGATTTAAAAAATTCAAAGATTTGAAATTCCCAACCCTTAAGTTGGGGGCTATCAGAGTAATCTCAGAGGTTGCGAATCTTGCCTCCAAATTCGACTGCTCAATTTTTTGCAGTTTTTGAGATATGACGTTTTTTATGGTTTTTCATAAAAAAAACTTTTAGAAAACTTAAATTTGACGTTTCATAAAATTTGAAATTCCCATCGCTGTAGTTGGGAACTGTGAGAGTACTCTCAGAATTGCAAATCTTGCGTCTAACTGCGCTTGCTCAATTTATTTAAGTTTCGAGATGTGACGTTTTTTGATGTCATTTTGAAATGTACTGAGATGTAAAAATTTTGGTTTTTCAATGTTTGAATTAACAAAAACTTTTACAATACATTTTTTTTACAAAATCTGTAATTACCAACCCTTTAATAGGGTGCTCTCAGATTACACTCATAAGATGCAGATCTTAACTGCAGTTTATTCGGTTTTCTATTATGTTCTTAAAAGTTCGTAGCACCGGAGGTGCGTTACACGCTCGCTAGTATAGATAATATCAAAGATCAGGGGTGAAAATTTGAATCATACAAAATTATTACGAGCCTCTCTATTCATTTTGGAAGGGCTTTGTTATGCAGGATAATACGCCACGCATAAATAATTCAAGTTATGCTTTCAGGATTATTGATAAAATCTTCAAAGCAAACATAAAATATTCCACAGCATGGCCAAAGTGGAAATTTTCAAACTCCCAAAACTTTGCAAAACTTCGGAGGTAAAATTGATTTTTTTTAAATTTTGATTGCGGGGAGTCGATATTTTCAATGAAGCATAAAAATTTTTTGCTAAAAACTATTTCGATCACCGAAAATTGGCTCAATAAAAAAATCGCACTAAGTATAACTTTTCCGTTTTTCTTTCGAAAGTCGGAACGATAAATCAAAGACAATGCAACAGAAACATATCTTTCGATCAAAGAATTGAAACGTTCAACTAGCAAATGAACGATGCTTACAAGTTAATTGGATTCCAAATCAAACATGTCAGCCTAAAAGTGAACTTTTGAAAGGCTAAAAGGCCTGCGGTGCATCCTTGAATACAAATTAATAATTACCCGTGCGATAAGCAAAGGTATTGCAATCGGGTATACTTTTTTCCCTAAACAACTTTGTCCACAGGACTCATCGACTCCTGGTGGTACCTTGGTTCGTTACAAATTCAAATTTCTTACTTTCCTGCACACTAAGCTGGGAGGCAAGAAGCGAATCCGCCTTGGAAGGCAAAGGTCTTGGGCTCAAATCTGACCAGGACCTGTTTTTTTAACGCTACAAGTTTCGGTTCAAAAATTTCAGCCTATTGTTTGTGTGCTTGTGTTTTGTCGGCTTAGTTGCCAGATCTAAGAATCGTTCATTTTTGGTGCAAGCAATTTTCGCTGTAGTTGCTTAGTGTCTGAGCATTTTAAAAATCGAAGTTTGCTTTTTACATTGGTTGGAATTTTACCAACTCAATTTGTTAAAATTTCGTTTTTTTTTTGTGTGCGTGTGTGTTCTGAGGGGAAGGTGGACTCAACTTTTTTTAAAATTATTTTTGATTTTTTTTGGCATGTTTGTTACTGCTTGGTTAGTTTTGTTCCGATGCTAATTTTGCATTCTATTCCTTGGCATGTTATTTTTTTAAAATGTATCTTCATTCATTTTGATAGATTGGTTGAATGTATACTTATAACACATCGTTATTGCTTTTTGCTGATGAATTTTCGGCTTCGATTTAGCTCTCGGCTTAGCGTCCGATTATGTGTACCGCCTCATTTCAGTTCTTATATGGCTTTTGTGTATACTATTTAGGCAGTACATGTATATTTTCCAATAAAATTTTGACGAACAATTTTGGTTGATTTTCAGCTAATTAGCTGTCGGCTTTAATTCTGTCGGCTTATTTACCTAATATTTTGTTCCTACAAATTTCTTAAATTATTTATGAGATCGTGAACACTTTGGCCCCAAATTTTAATAAGTTTAAACATAAAAAATTGATTTTCATATTTTTGTGTCTAGTTTCGACGCTTACTACTGTCGAAGTCCTCTTGGATAGTTCTTGAGTGTTTTGCTGTTTCAATCCTTTACTTGTTGTATGGCAGTGTTGAATCGCCGTTTAATTTGACCATGATTTGAAAGAGTTCCATTAAAGAGCCGGTTTCTAAAACTCATCGCCGCAGAAATTGGGCTTATTTTTCCGCCGCCTGCGTCGCAGAAATTTTTATTATTTTTCCGCAGCTTTTTGCCTTGTCTGAGTGCATTTTTGCTCTGGTTATTTTTTGGGCTTCGAATATGAACTGAATATATAATTAGAGGTTTCTAGTTTTCCAAGGGCCTGGATAGACGAGCACCTTATGAAGTAAAATAACGTTAAATTAAGGATTGTTTACTCTTGTCCTAAAATCAAATGCGCCAAAGTTTGGTACTAGTCAATTGCGATGTTATTGTTTGAAATTTTAGGGGATCCATGAGAGTGGCGAAGGATTTCATTGTGTTTTCGAAAACGAAAGAGCAGCACGTTTGTATCTATATGTCTCGAACATTCCACGAGGACGAGAAAATAGACGAAGTCATTGTCCCCATACCCTCCTGGGACTCCAAAAACAGAAGACCTTTCCCGTCTACTCCTGAAGATTTAGAACGGGTATGTTACATGGAAGCAAACGCATATATTTCTGAAGGGTTCTTCAATAATTTATATCAAGTACTATTTTGAAAGCAATTAGTGAACACATAAAATTGCTGTAGTCTCAAAGTCTCAAACTTGGTCAGAAGTGTCTCAAACTCAACATTTTTACTCGATAAGACTACTAATTTTCAGCAAAGACCTATTGAAAGCATTTCTATCCTAATGGTTGATGTGTGAGCATCGTTATAATTTTAGCACACAAAAGAACTGGAGATCATCTTCAAACATTCTCCGTTCAAAACAGAAGCTGACATTTTTGCGCAGTTCGACAAGATTGAGAGTGATTCCGGAACATTGGTTATTCTAATCCACATGAAGCTCTTGGACAACGGGGAGCCAGAACTAGACATCGATTCTGACCCGACTGATATCATCATGGGAAGCGAGAAAGGATTGTCTCATGAGGGGTGAGTACTAATTGCTCTTGAGATGTCTGTTATGCGTTTGTTTGGCTTTTGTCGCCGTCGTAAGTTTTAATTTGGATATTTAATAGGCAAATAGTTCTATGGAAAAAACGGAGATAGTAACAATAAAGACCAGATATTCTCACCTCGAATCAATGAAGTACATGAAAATGAATCAAATGAGTTTCTGAAAACAATTCAACTAAACAGATGGATGCTTTCTCAAGGTTCCGTGGAAGTGTTTTGGGCTCTTCACAGTAGGGGATTTAGGTTGCATGGAATATGCACTATTTTATGACATGCATGTTTTGCCACCAATCCTAATTTCTTTTGAAATGCTCCAATGTACTCTTAAATGCGAGGGGAGAGCACACACCAAAAAAATGCGTTTTTTGCTCAAAACCGTCCAAAGTGACTTCAAAATTCATTTTAGTGCGGTTTCATTTTCAGAGTTTGCATAAAAACGTTATTCAAAATCTTTTAGCATTTCAGGGCAGCTCAGAAAACCTGTTCAACCTGAAAAAAATCCGAGAAAGTTTTCGAAAATCCGTCTAACACCTTAGAAACAGGACGAGCCATGCGCGTATATAGAATTTTGTGTTTCGTAACCTTCGAGGTGTTGTGAAAAAAGATCTATTTCGACCACCTCGAGATATTAAATTTTGTAGTTTTTTGTTTTGAAGCAACATGTCAAAAAGGCATAGTCTCTTGCATAGAGAATTTTTTATTGGCTGAAATTTCAGTTTATAGATAAGACTAACTTTCCAAAAAAATAAGGATAACCTTAAGTGTTGTATTTCAGCTTGGTTCTGGAGAGGCGTTCTCTGCGTGCTTACACCAGTATCTTGTATTTGGAGCCAGTGATGAAGATCTACATCCAGGGCGTGAAAGTACAGACACGTCGACTAGCCAACTGTCTCTACAAGCCGAAACAATTCAAATTTACCTCTAATAGATTCAAAACGAGAGCAGAAAACGATGCAAGAGAAGCACGTGAACATGCGAAGCTAGCAGAAGAAAAAGCGAGAGAGAAGGAGAGTACATATCGTGACTTGTTGAAAAGACTGGGCAATTCGACTAACAGAGACTCTCGGTCTAAGTTGAACCTGGCGAAGAATGACGCGGAGGACCACAGATCAGAAGCGATCATTAAAACGAAATTAGCAGACCAGAAAGATAAGTAGGTTTACACAAACTAGTTTCGACTATGACTATTAAAACGTGCGTTACGTGTTACAATTAATTCACTACGTGCCTAAATCTAGAAAATAGAGTTTCAACTTTTATGTTTCCAAACTGTTGACCTTTGACTAGATGGGGCCATGTTTTTGACATTATCTTTCGTTTTTTTTTTGAAAAAAAAGGAAACATCTCAAGTTTTTCTGCAGGAAGATATATTGTATAATTTCAACCAATTGTTTCAGAATGCTGAAAGATCCCAAAATTCTCCACCTCATTTTTGGCTTCAACATAGAAAACAGATCCTGTGACGGCATGTTCATGTACAACTGTGGTCGACTGATCAAAATGTACGACAGAACGGGACCTCAGCAGGACGGAAAAGTGACCTGTCAGGGGATTGTGGGAATTGTAGATGTACCCTATATTGTGTTGCAACCGGCTCATAATAAGCAAGATTTTGCAGATGGAAAAGAGTACAGACATTTACTGAAGGTTAATATGTTTTGTAAATCGTAGTACTATTTCAACTGGCCTTAAATTCAACGCTCTCTCTCTCCGTTCCCAAAATTGCAATCGGCTCAAAAAAAATGATGTACTGATTCACGTTAATGAATTTGAAAGTAAAAAAGTGCTGAAATTCCCAGTGGACTAAAAAAAATAAGTTAATGGTCCAGTTTATTTTATTAGGGTTAGTTTTATGGAAAAAAGAATTATAACAGATTATTCGTTTTCAAGAACTCTTTAACTGTTTCAAAAACAGTTTTTTTCTGAAACGTGTTAAATATTCGAAAAAAAATAGGTTTTTCGGTTTCCTTGAGTTTATTGGTAAATCGTAGTACTATTTCAACTGGCCTTAAATTCAAAGCAATTGAGATTAGATAGATGAATATGAACGAACTCACCTGGATAACTGCATTCGCTACGCAGAATAACAATCATCTTCGAACACAATATGGAAAATTAATTGAAAGAGCAACGATAAAAAATCATTATTTACTCTATCGTCAGCTTAGTGTTTTATTAAGAACCTTTTTTCTAACCTAAGTCGCGAATATTGATGCCACTTTTGGGACATCTTTTTAGCTTTTCAGCAACAAAATAAGAAGGTTCGAACCTGGGCAGGGTCGGATTTTTTATGAAATTTTTTGTAACTTAGAAGGCAAACTCCACTGTCGAACACGAAACATCTAAAATTCACAAAAAAACGTGTTCGAAAGTGGAATTTAATTTTCAGAATTCCCAGAGAAATAGAAGAATTACTTATTGCTCCAGTTTTCTCAAATTGGGTTAACTTTAAAAAAAAGTGTCCATGATAAATTGTTACATAAGTTCAATGAGCTTTAAGGCCATTTATTTTTTCGAAATTCAAAAATTGAAGATGTCTGAAAACAAGTCGTTTCTTTTTTGTTTTCTTGCGTTAATTACTCTTTCCAACTGTTAGTTGGCTATGTTTAGCATATGTAGCTGCTGTATTCGTGACTAGTGTTAGTCGATGGTTACGCGTGGGTCGCTTAGTGGTTAGCGCGTGAGACTTAAAATCTATATATTGCAGTAGGTCGCAGATCGAATCCTAGACCTAGCCGAATTTTAACTAATTCGAGGCTCATTTCTATTTTCTCTAATTACACTTTCTAGAGCTGCTTTTTTTCGTGCTTTCGCTAGTGTTTGCGAAGCGAAGCTTCGCCTCTGTGGTCGATTTATGCAGTTTATTTCTACCACTATAATACATGAATTAACAACGAACTACCAATTTCTCACCTGTTTTTTTAAAATAAATTTGTCAATAACTTTAATTTGAAGAGACCAGTTCTTTTTTCTTGAAAAAATAAATGATTCCAATTTATTGTAAATTTCAATTTTGAATTTTAGGTAATGGGCGAACACATGGCGGACTACTGGAACGACTCAGGGATCATCCGGACAGGTGTTACTGAGTTTTGGGAGAGTTTCGGATATGAGAGTGGGAAGAAGTGGTGGGAGCCGGCCTCGGATGAACCCCGATTTGTGAAGCGCAGACAATTGAATATACCTCAAGCCATTCAGTGTGGTGAGTCGATGGTCGGGAAAATAGTCGATTGGCTTATAAATGGACACGCAGTGAAATTTAATTTTTATTTTTTTAATGAATGACCATGCAGCGAAGTGTTATAACCATGCAAATGCTTTCTATGAAAATAAGAATGCGTTACAGGTCTCAGAATAGGAAAAAAAAAAAAAACATGTTTAAATAGTTTCATCGCAAAAAAAACTTATGCTGCGCACACATAAGAGCTCAGATCAAATTCCATTTGAGTCATAAGAAGACTGGTAGCTGTAGATGATTCATCCTATTTCTTCAGACATGTGTCTCAAGTGGCGTCTTCTACCAACCACCAGCTCCAGTATCGGAAAGCAGTATCCCCCCAACTGGGTCTGTCAGAACAACCCAGATGCCCAATTCAACAGGTGCAATGCCCCAGAGCAGAAGTTCTCATTTCCTCTGATAGACAGAAAGAAGCTGAACAAAGACAACTCAACTGGTGGCGGATCAACGCCCAACGAGGAGAAACCATCTCTGTCGAATTCAGCTGAGATGCCCAGTTTTGGCAGAACAATTTTGAAGAAACCGGACGTGTTGCCGCCCGTTAAGATTTTCAAACCAACTCCTTTGCCCATAATTGCGCCAACTAAATTGAACGAGACGCCAAAGTTAATAAATCAGACTCCGTTACCATCAAAAAGAGTGAGTTAAGATGTGATTTGCGCACAAATCCATGGTTCAATATGGTACACATTTTGTATAGTCTTAAGTGTTGTTTGAATTAGTTTAAAGAACCTGCAAATACCTAATTTTTGAAAAAAAAGTACGCTGAACAGGACGTTTAAAGATCAAACTCATATGCAAACATTTTCTCTTGAATGATATGCAGTGAATCGCAGAAAGCAGGATTAAAACTACATTTGCGTTGTAGACTAGTGCACCCGATTCTTCGTCAAGTTCTACTAAAGTGGCCAGAAGAAAGTCACCCTCCCCGCCACCTGTCAGAGTGAAATCATCTAGTCGTGTAGTGCAACAGCAAGCTGCAGTTAAAGAGAAACAGAAACCTGTAATTCGTAGGAAAAGTCCCAGTCCACCTCCAGCTAAGCCTAAGGTATGTGCTTTGTGCAACAAGATGGTGGAAAACCATTGAAGATGATATTGATGCTGTTCATTAGTGAGCTCCAAGATTACATAGTGATGAGGACATAAGTCTCACAATTATGCGAGAATCTAACATTGCTTAAATCTGTGCCATCTACTTTTACACCAAATTGATCAAAGATCATAAAATTGTCAATGGCACAAAAATGTTTTTGCTTAGGCTCGTCAAGCGCGCAAATCACCTAGTCCTGAACCTCCGAAGGTAAATATTGATTCAGTCTGAAAAAGGTATAGTAAGTAATATTGATAGAACTTCCAGATTTTTTGGTGTTTCAGCGATCACGAAGAAAGTCGCCATCACCTGAAGTTGATAAGCGAAAGGTGAAAAACTGAAGTTGACGCAATTTTAAGTTTTTACTGCCAGTTTCGTTTGGGTTTAAAAATTGTGTTTCGCGTCGAGTTTTCATAATTTTCTTCAAGTATCAGCAATTTTTCAGTTGATACGAATTTCGACGGATGATATATAAACGCTCTATATCAAGATAATATATATGTGTTGCAAAAAGCCTCATATTGCCTAGTAGGAGCAAAATGTAAAGAATTCTACTCAGCTGAGAATCCAATTCAACTTCGGTCCGCGATAACTGAATAACTGAATTTTACCAGTTTTTTTTAACTAACTGATACGAAGCTTTTTTCTATCAAAATTCCATGTGGCGTTTCAGTCAGCTGCTTTGTTGCTGAGTACATCACCTGCGAGTAGTTCATCCCGACAGAAGAAAAAGTCCCCCTCTCCCTCACCAGAACAGACAACTAGCAAAACAAGCGCAGTTAGTTCCCTCTTCTTATTTCTTTTTATTGGCTTGTTATTATTGTACCAAATTAAACTGAAATATTAAGAAATTATCATCATATTAACCATTATTTGCTAAATTTTTTGCTAAGTGTTGTGGTGTTTTAGCGGACATCGACTCGTGACAGAGAAACTTCAAAGAGATCAGCGGCATCAGAAGCAGACTCAGAGGACACGCAATCAGAAACCTCTGTTGGTTATAATTTTGTTGCAAAGCATAGCAAGTTTAAGATTGTTGTTTGAGGGTGACGCAACGTTTATCAGGCTGGTAGGCTAGTAAAATTGAGCAAGGAACTTGTTTAGTTCTTATAAAACTAAAAGCGCCAAATTGTTTCAAATGGATGCCAACCACACAGAGGAACTTTGGCGGCCACATTTTCAATAGCTTAAAACAATTTTCAGAAATTGTATATATTTAAAATTTTTTACGTGGGTATTATATAAATAGTGAGTAATACAAATACGAACGCGCGAAAATGAAAACCCACTTAATTGTTGACATTTTTGAAATTCATATTTTATACAGTAATGGTTGTCAAAAATAATACATGAATAGGGGGGGGGGATAGTTAACAACGTGCAAAGGGGGGGATAGTTAACAAGATCCGATATTAAAGATAGTCGTAAAACAAAATATAATAATTACACAAGCAAAGCTTGTGTGATATTACGAGTTCTTTTTTTCCAACCTAAGTCGCAAATAGTAGTGCTTTTTGAAAGTCCTCTTTTATTGCAGAATATGCATAAGATCAATAACCAGCGATTAAGTACAGCCAATGCAAAGATATTAACGCAGACTATTATAGTACAAATAGCACTTTAGCTTTAAGGCATTATGGATCTGTAGCGTAGAGGGAAGGAGACCAGCAGCAAAATAAGACGGTTCGAAACTTGGCAGGGTCTGATGTTTTCAATGAAATTTTTCGTATACTAGTTAAAATGCGTCCGCTCTATAAATTGAGGCATGTTAGTTGGTAAGTTTCATTTTTTTCAAATTAACTGATACTGCTAATGCGTCATAATTGGCTTGCGTCACTTAACAATTATGTAGACTCATAATTGGCGTGAGTCACTTATGAAATTTGGTAGACTCGAAGTTTTACCCATTCAGTATTTCCCAGTAGCGTTATATGTCATATTTTTGCTTGTGTATGCGAAGTGCAACTTCGCCTCTGTGTTTAATATGTAATCTGATAATATGAAGTGTATGGTCGTTTCAGAGTCAGTCGTCCCGCAAAACACAAGATTCGCCCTCTCCACCTAAGAAATCAGCAGCTGAGGCCAAGAAGTCAAATGTAGTATCTTCGCCGGCAGCTGCAAAACAAACAGAAAAGGTGAGATTTTGTTAAACCATTTTTAAGGGAGCAAGAATAGACTGTTCCTGGGCTAGTATCACAAACTGCAATCAAAGTTTTGACTGCAATCAGTATTTCTAAAAAAGTTTTGAAAAAGTGCTTCCAAAACGTTTCTTTCCTTTTGCGGTTTGACTGTCGATTTTTTTAAGTTCAATTCAAATATAATTGCTTAAAGGAAGGAAAATTACGCTCTTTAATTACGAAAGCGGAAATGGCGCGGAAAAACAGAAGAATTTCTAGTTTCAATATTGGATTTGAGTTTTGAGCTTTCCCAGCCGAATAAAAAGTTGACCTATTGTCCCACTTTTCTCTAATAAGGTTAATTTCTTAGCAAAAAAGTGTATATTACACTTACGAAAGCAAGTTTCTGGTAATCAATAAGACGATTTTTTCCGTTAACTCTTAAGAAATTGAACTGGTCTTGTTATTGAACCTTAGCAACATCCAGTTTCTTTTCCATGTGGTCTAGAGGTAACGCGGTTGCCTTTGTACCGCATGGTCTGGGGTTTGAATACCTGCCGGAGTACCTTCGCGTTTTGTATACTTAGTGGACGCTCGGTAACTACTTGAACCTTATTTAATGTTGGTAGTTGTCTTTCTCGACTGTTTTTCTGAAGTTTAGTTTTTCTCTTTTCAAAAATATTTAATTTTTGTATAATTCGAATTTGTGGTCTTCATCATCTTTTTATCAGTTGATGGTAGTAGTGAAAACTCTTATATAAGTCGTGATATTTTTTTCTCGTTTTGTTTATAGAAATTTTTTTATAATTTGTTCACGGTTAAGTTTGATATTTTGCGGTGTGTTTTTTTATTTTATTTTCAGTTCAGTTCATTCCCTTGATTGATTTCCTCGACGATCATAAAGGTCGTGATGATTTTTTCTCGTTTTGTTTGCAGAAAAATTTTTAATTTGTTCACGTTTAAGTTTGGTATTTCGCGGTGTGTTTATTATTATTTTTTTTCAGTTCAGTTCATTTCCTTGGTTGATTTCCTCCACAATCTAAAAGCAAAATTTTAAAGGTCACGGAAAAGCTGATTGAATTCTTGTTTCGAAAGTGGTTTTTATTTCCAGATCTCCAAGCGGAATATAAAATTTACCTAATAATCCAGTTTTATCAAAGCGGCTTAGTTTCATCAAAATGTGTCAAAGATGAGCGATTTATGAAATTCAAAGAGCTTTAAGGCCGTATATTTTTTCTTTGAAATCCGAAAGTTGAAGTTAATGAAATCCGAAAGTAAAAAAATTGTCAAAAATTTTTTTATATAACTTTTCTCCAAAACAATGATAATCAGCATTTAATCGCAAAAAAGATTCCTGTCAAAAAGTCATGCGCATGCCATTGACTAAAATCATTTAGTGAAGATTATTCTGAAAACTATTGAAAATATCCGTGAAATAAAAGTATATCGCATGTGATGCTTAGCTCCGTTTCGCCTCTGTGTCATAAATTGTTGCTGAAATTCAAAGAACTTTTAAACCATTGTTTCTTGCGCTCATTGACAGGTTTTTAATTGTCTCATGGCTATGAACACTAATAACATCGTGTAAAAATTTTTGTTGCTTTTTTAAGAGTCGCTGAAATTAGTTCGTGATGTTTTTTTTTCAGGAAAGTCTTAAAATATGTTGAAGCCCAGGTTTACTTTCGCGGTTTGAGTTTTGATTTCTTTCTAAGTTCAGTTCATTTCCTTTGTTAAAAGAAGGCAAACTCCACTATCAAGCAGTTAAAATGGAATGAAATTATCAGATTTCTCAGCGAAATATTTTTTACAAAAGTCATTCATCAATTGCTATGGAAATTCAAAGAGCTTTGAGGCCATCTAATTTTTTTTTTGGAAATTGAAAGAGATTTTTTTTCAAAAATAAGTCAGTATTTTTTTTCTGTCAGTTGGCTATGTTTCAAGTTTTCTTGAGTAATTTTTTGCTCGAAAACAAAAATTTCAAATTAATTTTGATACTGAGAAATCTTTTTTTTTGCCAATAGCAAGCGATAGCAAACAGAAAAAAATGATAGCCGGCTACTCTGCACAGAATGTTCTGAACATAGTCTTAAAAAATTTAAATTTTTTTTCTTCAAATTAGTGTCGTTTTTTCGGCGCTGCTCGATATAAGGATCATAAAGAAAATCTAGAGCTGAGGCTTATTTGACAGTTATAGTAAACTAAGTAAATTAGAAAACATTTTTTAGAGACTGAAAGGGCTATAATTAACTTCTCTGAAATTTTTGGTAGACCCAGTTTTCGATTTTTTTTTCGGAACAATTTTTTCGTCTTGAAGCCTTTCGTCCAGTCTTTTTGTCGGCTAGCTTGCTATGCTTTGATTGTGATGTATCGCAAGTGGTGCGAAGTTGAAGTGGCCGGTAGTAAAAAAAAAGTTTCGTTGAAATTAGAATATCGACCAAAAGGGTATATTAAGATATTTCACCCGTCTCCATGTGATGTTTATTCGTCTTCGTTTTGAGAAAATCTGAAGACCAAGTTGCTTAGCCCATTCTGTGACCAGAACAATAAACCAACGCATAGACTTGTGTTTCAATAGTTTCTGTAACTGAATATTAGATAAGGTTTCATGTGGTCGGCTTTTTCAAGTATACCTTATGGGTACCACAGTTGTAATTGTAATGAAGTTTGTGGGTGGGTTTTAGACAGCGAGTACCTCTGAAGAAGCAGTAGATGATTCATTTGAGCCCTCTGTTGGATCTGAAGTGGAGGTGTCGTTTGGTGGAAATAAATGGATGGAGGCCAATGTGTTGGAGATACACTCCAGGACTAGAAAACTCAAAGTGCAATTCTCACAGAAGTCAATCCCAGACAAGTGGTGAGAGCAAGACGTCTCATTAGTTGAGATACTCTTTTTAACTTCCGTGCCGCGAGCAAACAGAAGTAATATGCTATACACAGTGAAGTTAAAATGTTGTACATGAACAAATTTTGAGGGTTGTTCGGTCGGTGGTAAAAATGACAGTTGTTTTCTGATGAAAAATTGGAATAAACCCAAAGTCTGAAGGTTCGTGTATTGTCTTATTGGACCGATTTTCAATTTGTGAAAGTTCGATAGAAAATAATCGCGTTGAAATCTTTTCAGGGTTCTTCCGAATGAAGTTCGCAAACCTATCAAAGAAGAAATCGTTACTCCTCAGCCCTCCAAAATCAAAGAAAGAAACTCGACCCCTAGCTCGTCAACAAAGCCAGCAGCGTCTAAACAAGCAGCTAGCGTTGAAAAATCCCAAGCGAAAATGTCCTCGGATAAAATAAATGGCGAAAAAAGCCACGAGGAAGATTCAACTACCTCCACAGTGCAGAGAAGTGTTATGTCAGCTCATGAGTCAGCGGACACAGCTAAAATAGTTTCCGTGCTCAAGTAAGATTAGACTTATAAATGCAGTTATCACAGCATTTTTTTACGACATTAACACAGCGTTTTTTCAACATTGGATCGATATGAAAAAGGAAGGTATTAATATTGGACTGGCCAAAACGAAGCCGTTTCATTTCAATTACCCTCAAACTGATCCTTGTCTCTATTGCTGTTATCTCCACGTAACTTAAACTTAAGCAAGATTTGGTTTCACCCTTGTATTAGGACTGGTTTCATTAACAGTTTTGGTGTATGATATCAAAATTTGGATAGCAAGTGTTCGATTTTATCTGAAGTAAAAAAAATAATTTCGGATTATGAAAATTAAGTGTGTTACAGGAGTATGTTGAAGCACTTTTGTCCGCCTGGTTGGTCCGAAACTTCCGACATAGCCTCTCTGACTCGCACTCAGCTGACCGAATTCCCACTGGACCTATTCTATAAGCAGTATGAAGATGGGCTGCGGGAGCTGATGAAGCGACAGGTGCAGAAGAAACTGGACCAGGAGTGGAATAAGATGAAGACTGAGTTGGAAGCAGAGACGACGCCTATTATCACAGCATGTAAAAACCTAATGAAGAAACTATTTCCAGAGGTTAGTAGTATCCTTAAATGCTGAGCATGATATGATTCCCGAGATAATAAATTCGATCCCAGTGTGCTAATGTTTCATAAGAAGAGACGAAAAAGGGCTTTACGTTTTAGGATATCCTTTTTTAGGATATCTTTGTAGAGCTTGTTATTTCTGTTTAAGAGTCGATGAACGTAGTTCAGATTCTTATATTGGTCGAAATGTTGTTTTTTCTTTTTTGGTAAGTCTTAAAATGCTCTAATAAAAAAGAAGCGCATAAGGGCTTTAACTGAACTCATGCTTGAAAAGCTTTAGGTATATATGCACTTTTTGAGTTCAGTTCAAGTTCATTTGGTAGAAGTTAGGAAAAGTGCACTCTCCAGTTATGAAAGCTGAAATGGCGCAAAAAAAAACGTGATCGATTTCTAGTTTCGAAAGTGGAATTTAATTTTGAGATTTCCCAGCCGAATAAAACCCTTTCCAATAATACAGTTTTCTCAAATTGGGTTTATTTTATCAAAAAAAGTACCAAGAAGTTACTATAGCTTAGTAAATATTACATTTGGCTTAATATGCACTGTTAAAAAGACCAACTCATCGCGAAGTCAAAAATGTAAGCTGAAATCCGAAAAGTACTATGGAGTTGTTTAAGTAAACAAAAAGGAATGCCAGGTCGAGCCGATAATCGGAGTGGGGCAAGGGAGAAAGATAGTTTTTTATATTTGCCTCTTTTCAAGAGTAATGAACGTAGTGAGTACTCGTATATAGGTCTTGCTGATTTTTTTTCAGGAAAAAGATTTAAATTCTGTTCACGCTCAGTTTTGATTTTTCGCGGTTTGACTTGTGATTACTTCTTAAGTTCAGTGCATTTCTATTGTTTAAGGCAAGCTCCGCTATCGAACAGCAAAATAGTAATGGTCACGAGAAACGTGATCGACTCTAAGTTCGAAAATGGAAATCAATTATCAGATTTCCCAGCGAAATAAAAGTTTTACCTATTGATCCAGTTTTCTCAAATTGGGTTTATTTAAACAAAAAAGGGTTCATAATAAATTGTTCTGCTAATTCAAATAGTTTTAAGGCCATCTGTTTTTCTCTTCGAAAATCAGAAGTTGAAGATTTTTGAGAAAACAAGTAGTTTTTTTTCTGTTTTCCTGCGTTCATTACTCTTTTCTAACTCTCAGTTGGCTATGTTACATAAAGGGAGTTTTTAGCTAAATTAATTGAACATTTTCAGTTATGTTCAGCCAACACTTAAAAGAGTACTCAACTGGCGATGGAAGACAAATAATATAGAATAAAGTTTTTAATTGAATCTTTTCAAAGTGGTCGATGTTTTTTTTTCAATCAAGTGTCTACTTTTTCGTCTTTGCATCGCCACTTTGTTTTCTCCCTTCTGCTTCTTCCATTCTACTGCTTCTCCTTTTTTGCTTTTGAAACAATGAACTCCTGGTTTGAATCCAGCTTTGTTTTGGAAAGTATAATAATCATAATAATGTGGTTCCTGGGAATTGCAGAGGAGCTATCAGTAGGCTTTAACAGTCCTGTCGAGGATAGTCCATTTGTGTTATCTCCCCGCATTCCAGACTGTGTTATTTTGTTGAGCACTTTTTTGCGACTCAGGGCCGTTTTTTTGCGTCTAGAATTTTCACGTGGTACAACTACTGGCTGTGTTATTTTGTTGAGCTCTTATTGCGACTCCAGACCGTTTTTTTGCGTCTAGAACTTCCACGTGGTACAACTACTGGCTGTCAGGCTGTGGTAGACCTGAAGCTAGAGGTCAAGTGAGAGCTCGTGCTCACACACTATCATTGCCCTGGCATGGGATCGAATACACGATCTGACTATTTCACGATCCTTTGGCCTTCTTATAGGATCTTAAGCTGCCTTTGCCTTTGGCCTTCTTATAGGATCTTAAGCTGCCTTTGCCTTTGGCCTTCTTATAGGATCTTAAGCTGCCTTTGCAGAGGGGTTCCGTAGTGATATGAGTACGGGACGAAGCTGATGGCGGTTGGTATTAGTTGCAGTGCTAAATTGTGTTCGTTGTTTGTGTATATTTGCCTAAGGATACATTAAACTTACGGTTATATGTCTGGTTTGAATGAAAATAGCAGCCATTAGTGGGCAGTGACTTGTCTCGATCAGTGATTATCAGCACTTTTCGGGATCTTTTTTTGCCGTGGTCAAAAAAAAAGAAATCCTCGTGCTGCTTGGGGTTGTCAAAGTGTCTGTCGGCAATCAATGGGCAACGCAATATTTTTTTTCGTTTCATTGTTTCTTGTCAGTTGAGGGCTTGTCTAAAGTGCAGACCGACATGAAATAGTCAATTGGACCGTTTTTTTTTGTCTGCGGTACTCTGAAGAAAGGTTGCTATGAGGCTCCTTATAGGTATTTGTGTCACTTTCGAGTCATGTTTTCTTTTTGGACCAGCTTTCTTCGCCCGAACGTCCCGGGAAAATTTTTTGTGTAAACTAGCATGTCCTCTTGATTGACTGCCGTCAGTCAGGAAGTCTGTTCACTCAAGACTTGACTGTCCTCGTGAGTGAATGCTGCCACTCTACGCCTATGAAAGCTCCATCTTGAAGATTTCCTGTTAAATTGCCATTTTTTTCTTGCAAGCTTTCCCAAATTGCTATATAGTTCTAGACCAGTTTGGTTTTTCTTACGACGTTTTAAGGCAGTTTTACCGCGTTTTAAGGCAGTTTTTGACAATTTGGCCAAAACTGCGTTGTCGGTCCGAGCTCCCCATCAAATTAGGGTAAAGTGGGTTTTCAAAAAAAAAATGTTGAGCATTTTTTGAGTAATGAACGTAGCGAGTATTCTTGAAGATTTTTTTGATCTTGAAGAAACGCTCAATTTTGATTTTTGGCGGTTTGACTTGTGATTTTTTAAAGTTCAGTGCATTTATATTGTTAAAAGGAAGCCAAACTCCACTATCGAACAGCAAATTTCTAAAAGTCACAGAAAACGTGATCGATTTCTAGTTACGAAAACGGAGTTGAATTATCAGATTTCCCAACGAAATCAAAATTTTACCGATTGATAGTTTTCTCGAATGTAGTTAATTGTTCTTCAAATTCAAAGAGTTTTAAGAACATATATTTTTTCTTTAAAATTCGAAAGTTGAAGTTTTTCAAAGAACAAGTTTTTTTCTGTTTCCTTGCGTTCATTTCTTTTCAACTGTCAGATGGCTATGTTTTTTATCGTTCTATTGTAGGACTACCCCGCTGAATCAGACAGTCATGCAAGCTGGACTGCTTTTATGGAGAGAGCTCTCGCTGACATCCAGGAGGACGATGCTCCAACTTCAACAACAGTAACCAATGGCCCAACCTCTACTAGAACCAGCTCAGAAAGCGGAGTTGTCGTGAATGGCGATATTTCAAACAATGACCCAAGTTTGTTAGAGGTCAATGGTAACGGACACGATTCGACATATGAAGAGGTTGAAAATAACGACCCCTCACTTTTGGCCTGAAATCTCTGTAGATACCTAGCTGGTGTCCACCAACTCGAGTTTTCGAAACGATCATTGAAAATTGTTGCATTTTCAAATTTTAATGAACTGGGTTTTTATAAGTTTGATTCTATTATCAGTTGATTTCTTTTCTATTTATTCAATTTTGTTAGAAATAATTTACTTTGTACCATTTATGAGTCGGTTAAAATGGTTGGCGAGGTGGTCAATTCAAAAAAGGCGTAATTTGAGTATTTTCAAGTTGTTTTTACCAGAAGACTGTTTTCTTCAGTTCTTGCGTTGAGTTGAACGAAAAACCCTGCAGTTTTGGTCTTAAATTATGGATGAGCATCTCTATCTTACTCATACGTCATTGCTTTTGATTCTTGATATTTGGAGCAGGAATTTATAATTTTTTTAGTCATAAAAATCGATTTTCGTTCAGCTCAACTTTTTGATTGATCTGTTTCCAGTTAACTTCAATTTATTATATCAGCATTGAACTGATTTTGAATTCAATGCATTTACCGTATTCTTTTTGAAAACTAGCTGAGATTGACTTTAAAGTGACGTTCTTATCTCGTTCGTAGTATAGTTACTGTTGGCACTAAGGAGCTAATATGATGATATGGTGCTATTGACCCAGTTTCACACTTTTTAAAGATGAAAACGTTATTTAGTGTCATGTCAATGAACGAAGTGTTGATTTTTTGAGGAAAAAGTCTGTCGTACACGCTCAGATTTGATTTTTCGTATTTTGGCTCGTCTTTTCAAGTGCAATTTAAATTAATTTACTGACAGCTTGGAAAATGACCCTCTTCAATAACAAAAAATCACATGGAGCAAAAAAAAAACGCGGAAGACTTTAGTTTTAAAAATGGTAGATTTTTTAGAATCGATATTAAATTTCAAACTGAAAATATCTTAAGATCCAATTTCGTAAAATTCCTGTTTGACGAAATCAGGTATTGTGAAAATGTGTGGGATCGAGTTTTTTTATAATTTTTTTGAAACGCTTTGGAAAAATTTTTCACTTCAAAAATTTAATTTTTCTCAAACTACTACCGATTTTAAAAATACTCCCCTATTTTACTAAGTACCCCATTTTCTACAGCCTTCGAAAAAGAGTCTGGGAGGATTTTTGGCACATATTTTTGGATTTATAAAATTTTCTCGAAAACTACCCTCCCAAATCTGAGGTTTTGATTTCAATGGATAGAGCAGGTTGTGGAAAGCTGCCTTAAATTAGCGGCATCGCCCTATTTTTTGACCAATGTTTTAAGCATATTTCAACCCAACAACTCTTGTAATCACCTCAAAATTTGTGAACACTGACGTAAATGATAAAATTAACAGATTAATTTTGATTTACTTTTTGCTAACGGTCTGTTTTTGAAATTACCCTTGTCCTTCTTCATCAGTACAAAAAATTCAAAAATTATCTAACAGGTATTTCCAGTTTTATCTTCCTCTAGTTGAGTTATCTGTCAATCATAAAAAGTGTCAATCATGTTAGATTTGCAAATTTCAAAGAGTGCAATGACACTTATCCAGCTGTCACTTGGCTAAGTCTACGTACTTCGGTTCAAAATAAATGATTGAATTCCAGTATTTCGAAATCTTGAACATTCTGCCAATTTTAAGAGCACTTGAGAGAAGATCTATAAAATGCAACTAAGTATCCGCATAAAAATCTCTTTCAGAGTAATGACCGTAGCCAGTACTTTTATATAGGTCGTGGTGAGTATTTATTTTTTTTCAGGAGAAAGTCCTAAAATTTGTTCACGCTCAATTTTGATTTTTCGCGAAATTTATTTACGCTTAATTTTGATTTTTCTGGGACTGATTTGTGATTTCTACTACGTTCAGTTCATTCCCATTCCCGTTATTAAAAGGAGGGCAAACTCAACTATCGAACAGCGAAAGTATAAAAGCCACGAAAAACGTGATCGACTTCTGTTTTCAAAAATGGAATCTAATTTTCAAATTTTCCTGCGAAATAGTAAGTTTACCTATTGATCTAGTTTTCTCAAATTGTGTTAGTTTTGTCAAAAGGTTCCAATCACAAAATTTTCTAGAATTCAAAGTGCTGAAAGCGCATCTATTTTCTTTGAACTTTGTAAGTTGAGATGAATAAAAAAACAAGTGATTTTTTGTTTCCTTGCGTTCATTGCTGTTTCCAACTGTCACTTCGCTATGTTTCATTTGAAAATGTTTTTGGATAAGACATCTTTCAGCCAAGTAAAGCAAAGTGGCGTCTTTTTTTTGAAGAGTCATTGAATGAAATGAAAACATTTAAGTTCTAGTGTTGTTGAAGCTCAATCTTTTTTTGTTCAAGCTCAAGTACATTTAACAGTTTGGACAATTTTTTCTGAGTGAGAAAAATCTTTGACTCTAGGAAATCAACTTACACTCTATTAAAACTGTGCGTGTCACTCAAACAAAAATGAATACGCTCGAGATTAACAACCGGTATCAAATCGGAATATAGAATTTTTGTGTTAACCACTTGTTTAACATAATCACTTGAAACAATTGGTATCTTAATTCATAATGAATTCAATTGTTTGAGAGTCTATGGCACACTTAGTCTGGAGGTAACAGATACGACTGGAACGAATCTGACAGGTTCGAACCTGACAGGACCTGATTTTTTTTTCAACCGGGAAGTAGTCCTTTTCTAAAAAAAAAATGGTCGACTTATTATTGTCTGCTTATGTTTTGTCGGTCTAGTTGCCATATTGCAATGAATTTTTTACATTACAAACATTTGCTTTTAGAATTTTGATTTGCACAAAATGCTAAATTTCTTGAGAGCATTATAGTTCACGTTTTTCATGATAACAATTTTCTTCCGGCTTTAGTTTGTTTTTTCTTTATTTTGGCTTGACCTGTTTTGGAATAAATTATATCAGCTTATTAGCTTCATATTGCGTCATTCGCCGAGCAAAAAACTTAGGGTTTTAATGATACTGTTTTACTCAGATCAGACTAAATTGTTTGACAGATCAGAAGAACAGTCAGTTTTTTGTGTTTTGAAAAACAAATTGAATTTTTTCAAAATGTTCTCGTAAATCAAATGTTTTTCAAAGAAAAACAAAAATCTTGTTTCAGGGTTCAAGTTAGTTAAGTCGGTATCAGCTGTTAGTTTATTGGTAGTTTGTTACAAATTTTACACTAATGGATTGGGGGGGGGTCATACATCTTAGTTACATTTAATGATGACAACAAGCAATGGTCCTTACATAAACGGAAAATTTGCATGTTGATTTGATAAACAGTGGTGCTCACGTACAACTCAACCCCTCAGTATAAAAATTTGCGTACTACAATTAGTAGCTTGTTTTGATGTTCATCAGATTGACTTCAACTCCCATTGTATTAATCCAGCTCGATATCGATCAAATTCTGGACACTCACATTTGATCTATCCTCGCTTGGTTCTTCTGTCGTGGTTTTGCTCCCAGTGGCGGTCGGTGGCAATGGTAAACTGGCATCCTTATGGCTGACTTTAGCCTCCTTGAATATGCCCAGGAACTCATCCAGTTGTGCTTTGTCTGTTTTTTCATCGGCCACCACCATAAGATGACACAAGGCTCTGGCTCTCGAAATCACATTATGAAGTGAGCGCAACATCTTCGTGTCCAAGTCTGAGAATACTATATAAATGTATTTGGAAGATTATTTGCATGTTGCACCAGTTGCGTGTAAAAAGGGTCTTCTTTTGGATCAAGAACGAAAATTTTCCCACTGAAAATTTTTCCCTTAGGTAAACTCACAGGAAAATCGGAAGTTCTTTTGAAAGAAAAATGAAAAACTTTGGTTATTTGTTCCGTTTTGCTCATTGGAACAGTATTATGTATGACTTCAATGATAGTTTGAGGTCCATGAATCATATGGCCGTGGCTGGGATGATGTGACAGCTCTGGAGGGCACATGGCAAAGTTTTGCTGCTCAGTATCTTTGTGTTTGATGGCCTCTGACAATCTCTTTAGGTTCGCTACTATGTTCCAAGAGCTGCGGTAGTTGTGCGTGAGTTGTAAAATTTGGAAGTTATTCCACGTAGAGTTGTTCCAGGAGCCCTGTCCAATTTGGTCACGCGCAAGATGGCACTGGTTAAAGTCAACTGCAATACATGCACATTGTTTCAAGGAAAGGTTGAAGTCACATGCATGAGCATCATCAACATAAACGACCACCTGGCTTAGTTTTTGGAAAAACTGAATTTTTTTCGTGTTATCATTTCGCGTGTTGCAATGAATAACTCCAATTTTACTTTTCCACAAATCCGTGAGATAGGGACCAGTTTTAAGTTTATGTAAATGCCATCAATTGTTTTCTTTCTGTCTAGAGACCTGCTTCTTTGACCTTGTGATCTCTAACGTCTGTTCCGATCTGAAATAAAACAGTGCAGTAAGATTTCGATTTGATGCCTAACAGTTGAACTAAAAATACAACTTATTTACAATCTTTTGATATTCCAAACATTCGACTTTAACATGGCGCAGCCAGCAGAGAAAAAAGGAGGGGGGAAAAATCCATTAAACATTGTAGCATTTTGGGAAGTACGAACACCGGAACCTCCAGTCTATTGGGAAGAGTGGATAATTAAGTTTCACTGGGGATGATAGCAAAGTACGATATTGATCCCGATGATTTCTATTTTGCGAGTACTCTAAATGCGGCGGCTATCGGGGCGTTGCCTGAAGAAGTAAATGGGAAAAACCGTCTCGATTCAGAAAAGAAGTTAAAGTCTAATCTATATCTATGTATCGGAGACGAGGCGCAACGGATATTCAAAGCACGGAAACCGACGGTTAACATCAAAACTGAACGGTACCCACGGGTTCTAGATGAGATGCAAAACGTGTTCCAACGAGAGAGGAATGTAACACATGAACGTGGTCTTTTCTACGGAAGAAAACAGCGTGAGAACGAAACGTTTGAAAAGTTCCATGCGGAACTAAGCGACCTAGCAGGTAGATGTGATTTTGCAAATGCGGCCGAAAATGTTCGTGACATTTTCATTATGAATATGCGGGAGTCGGATTGCCAACGAGAATTATCACGATCAACAAAATTACCTGAAGAAGTCTACAGGATCGCATTGTCATACGAACGCGGGGAGCGCGTATACAAATCATATACGGGAAGACCAGCTTCAACAGCTCCGGCTATTTCAATAAAACAAGAACCGGTGAGTAACATAAGGAGGGGACAAGGATTTTTTCGAAGTCGCGGACGTGGAGGATACACCCAAGGACCAAGTAGTAGTGGAGGAAGCGGAAATAATCGTAGGTGTTACAATTGCGACGCACCAAGTTTTACCCTGGATCATATTGCGAGCTGTCCTGCAAGAGGAGCAACATGTAACTCATGCCGAAAATTGGGTCACTTTGAACGAACATGTCGAGGAGTTAGAAGAGGTACTAACCATTGGAGGGGACGAGGACGAGTCGGACTTGTTAGGGAGGAAAATGAGCATCACCAAAGTACACAAAACGTAACTGACTTGAACGAAGATCCAGTGTC